CTCTTGACATTAAAAAAATGGCTTTTCCAAAGCCCATAATGATCTTTGCATTACCAGATATGGTACTCACGCTTCCAACGGAGTCCTTTATTTTGAGAGAGGAGAAATATTTTTTATCTTTAAGTATCGTGTGCGTCGTAGCACTGTCTGCTAGACATATATCTCCATCCTCAATCTCAAAATTTGACATTTTCTGAGATAAAGCATTTATAAAATATGCATTAATAAAATAATATAAAGACTTACAAAAAAAAACTTTATTTTATATTACAAAGAAACCATTATTCAAAAAAGACTTTTAAAACAAACAAAAAGTGCATTAAAACAGTAAAATACATAAAATACTAGTACAACCATATCATGTCATAACGATCTTATTAGCCTGATTTCCCGTTTTCATGATCAACGAGAAAATCTGCGATATCAAGATGGGTTTCATCATTAAGGCCATGGAAGGAAGGTCCAGCTTCATCAGAGATGAGATTGGTCTCAACATCCCTTTCTTTTGCTTTTTGAGATGCTTGATACAGATCGGCTAAATGTTTTGGTATACGACACGTCTGGTACCAATGTCCTTTCATGCCACATCTGTAACAAGTACTTTCATCTTGTTTCTTCAAAGTGCGACCAGCGTCATTCACTTGAAGATTTTTGTTTGTTTTCTTGGCGTTGGAATTATTGGGAGGGAGACCCCTTCCTTTTCCTCGTCCACGACCTCCTCCACGACCGCGACCACGGCCTCGACCGCGTCCGCGTCTTCGCCAATTATTATAACTGGATGAAGCAACATTCACTTCTGAAAGTGGAGCTGATCCAGTTGGACGAGTTTGATGATTCATCATCATGAGTTCATTATTTTGTTCAGCAACAAGAAGAACTTGCATTAAGTCAGAATATCGAGTATATCCTCTAGCTCGATATTGTTGCTGCAGGATTACATTTGTAGGATGAAATGTTTGGAAAGTTTTCTCGATCATATCATAATCGGAAACAGTCTCTCCGCATAAAATCATCCTGGAAGTGATTCCGAACAAAGCGGAATTATATTCACTTACACTTTTGTAATCCTGAAATCGCAGATTTAGCCATTCATGTTTGGCTTTTGGTAAGATCACATATTTCTGGTGATCAAACCTATCTCTGAGAGAGACCCAGAGATCTGCGGGATTTTCTCTAATGATGTATTCATCTTTTAAACTATCGTGGAGATGGTGACGTAAAAACATCATGGCTTTTGCCTTTTCTTCCTCTAACGTCGTTTCCGACGGATCGAGGGTTTTGAGAAGCCCATTCCCTTTTAGATACATTTTTGCATCTAATGCCCAAGTCATATAATTTTTTCCAGAAACATCAAGGGCAGCGATATCAAGCTTTGCCAAATTCGACATGATAACTATAAATAATAAAGCAATTTGTTAAATATAAATTTTTGAAAAACTTTTTGCAAAATCTTGTTTTAGAAATAAAGCAACATGAAATAAATTTAAAAATAATTATATACTATAAGTTATAATAAAAGCATAAATTAAAACAATCATTTTAGGAGACATAGTCATCCATATGATTGTACAAGAGGCATAGCTTTCATAGGGTCGAGGAGGCAGAGCCTACCATTTGATCCAAAAATATAGATCTGAACATATGATCGAGGAGGCAGAGCCTACCATTATGATCAAAAGATGTAGATCTTATTATACGATCAAGGAGGCAGAGCCTACCATTATGATCAGGAAGAAAGCATAGCCTTTTACTCCGTAAATAACAAATAATAACATATACATAAATTTAAATAAATTTTACATAATTTAAATGTTACCTTAAACCGATAACGGATCTAAAGTCGGTCGTGCTAACGGATCGAGAGTCGGTCGTGCTGATAACGTGTTGAATATTATACTAAAACAAGAAATATTAGAATAATAGAAGAAGAGAGACGTGAGAGAGTATTGAAGTGGACGACTTATTATTGTTGTGTGTATCTCATTTACAATGAAGGGAAGGACGTATTTATACTAGTATTAGCTTGGAGACCAAGCTACTTAGTGAACAAGTACTTAGAGGCTAAGGAGCTTAGGGAGTAAGTTGTATATGGATAATCACATGGGACATTATCCAATTTAATTATAATAGAAATTTTATATTTTTATAACAAAAGTTCAAATTTTAAAAACAAAAAATTTTGAGGAAAGATGATGATGATTCAAAAAATATTATTGTTTATTAATTTTACCATGGTCTACCGGACCCAACCCACTAAGGTCAAAAGCTAGGTTGGTCTTGGTCGTCCTTTGGAAAGGAAAAATAATGGTAAAGACCGGTAAATTAGTAGTAATACAATGAGTTAGATCATCTTTCAGTACACTAATTTGTTGATTCTATGATTTAAAGCTTCTACCTAAACTAGATCATGACCCGTGCTATACAGCACGGGATTTTATATATTTTTTGAATTATATTGTTCATTTAATATTAAATATGTAAGATCTAAGATAGTGTCATAGTTTAGTATAAAAGGGAATAAATCATACAATTTTATGTTTATTACTATTTGGATATTATGTTGTATAGTATTTATTTGACAATAATTTTTTATTTTGTTTGTATAAATAAATAATATTATACAATGTATTTTAGATTTATTTTAAAAACAATATTTGGATAGTTTTATTATATTTATTAAATATTGTGTATTTTAATTTGGTTGAAAACATGAATTGATAATAAAATGATGTAGTATATTGTATTTTAGAGTTGAATATATTTAGCTACATTAGATTTGTATTTTGTTTAATGAGATTAACAATTTAATTAGTTTAAGTAGTAATTGATAATTAGAAAAAAAAAAGAAATTGTTGTATTGGGGCTGAGATGTTTAGTGGGCTATTTCTGGGTTTATTTGGCCCAGTTTGTTTGTTTTTTTCTTTTTTAAAAAAATAAAGAATAAAAACACAAAAAAAACAATTTGGCAAACGTCCAAAGTTCCGACAGTTAATCGGATCCCAGTTAATCCCAGAAAACTAATGTCGAATTCTACCCAAATTTCTTTCAATTTCGACCTCAAACACGACAAAGATTGAAGATCTTGTCCAATCCGTTCATATCTTTCGAGTAATTGAAGTAGCGGAGTGGTGATCAAAGGTAAAGTTAAAACCGAAAGATTTTGTTTATAAGTTACAGAAATTGATTAATTAAGTTCATGAGTTGATTGATGATTGAATCGATTTAAGAAACAATGAAAAATTCCCGATCTGATTGCAAAACTGAATGAGATTCACGAAAATGAGGTTGTCGATGAAATGAGTTGTGGGAGAAGAAGATGCGACATATATGATTTTATGTTAAGTATGGGGTTTAATATTTTTTATGAATTAAATTTTATATTTTGTTTTATAACATTTTTTTTTTATAAATTCGAATTATATAACATTTTTTTTATGAATTCGGATTATATATAAATAAAATCTGTTTAATATCTTTAAACCCATTTGACCCGTTGACTCGTTGACCTGTTGACCCGTTAATATATATTAGTGACATGGAAAAAAATGATTATGATTAGAATTCTCTAATGGCATATATTGTAACTTCTTACAAAATCAACGTTATGAACCTTAGGATGTACTTCCCAAATATTAGTATAGGATATTTTAATCATAAAATATCTTGAAGATCAAGCAAATGAAATATATTCGAAATCACTAAATAATTGGTAGTTTCTTTTTTCCAACTAAACAAACTTTAGAATATTCTTTAGTTTCTTATTGTGATCATAAAATCATAAACCTTCTTTAAATTGTTTCGATTTATTTTCCTGATATGGAGAAGATTTGAGGTTATTAAAATATTTCCAACTAAGTAAACGAAATTTATTACTAAAATAATTTGTCAATTAAAAGTTTAAAATCTTACCGATATTATAGAGATTTAACTATGGGCTTAATATTAAATTAACACATATTTATTTCCTAAATTAAAAATTATAATAACTATAAATATTGAAATCAAGATTCACAATTTTAAATAAACTATATATATATATATATATATATATATATATATCATGCTATTTAATTCCTAAAACTATGTTTTCCTTAATTTAAATTTAGATTATTTAAATACTCTAACCGAATTAGATTTAGGCAAGATTTTGGTTAATTAAATCAACAATATATAAGATTGCACTCGGCTAAACTCAACCATTTAATGTTGTTTATATTTATCTAAGAAAAAGTATTGATGATTTTATCTAAGACTCATGTAAGACTTGCTCAAATTGGCCAATTTTAAAACTTCGTTTTTGCATCAAATCTAAATTTTTAATCACGAAGCTTTATTATATTAAGAAAAAGTATACCTTTATTTTGCCTTAATATATTTTGAAAGAATGCAATTCATTTTGATCTAGTAAAGAAGCCGTTTACGTTGACAGTCACCATTATCGCCTCCCATTATTTAAAGGTTGCATATTCCTTTTTTAAGAATTAAGAGTGGTGTTTAGTTGGGATATATGTAAACGATTTTTTGAATATTATGAATAAGAATTGTAGGAAACACCAATAAATTGTATTCATTATCTTTAAAAATCTTTTTAAAAAATAAGTTGTTAGTTAATGAAATGCTAATAATTAGGAGTATTCGATTTATTACCTTTTCAATCGACGATTTATTTTTGAAACAAAAACAAATATTTTTTTCCTTCTAAAATCTACTTTACAACTTTTACAAACATGGATTTGCATTGGAGCAAAACGTAAAACAAAGTTAAGATACTATAATGATTAATCACCATGAATTACATAGATTTCAAAACCTAGTTAATAGTTATCATCATACCCTGAAAATCATAATCTAGAAGACGAAACCTAAATTATATGTGGCCGATGTTTGGTAAATGCCCGCCGTAAAAGAATCGGTGGCTCCCAGAAGTTGATCGTATCCACTAAATAGTCTTGAGGAAAACTCCAAATTCATCCAAGAAAGATCCCAAGCACCATCGTTGCCACAAAGCCCCCAATTTATCTGTGACCGACATTGGATCTACCGGAAAATAATTGCCGCAGTAAAACCCTAACATGAAAGGATCGAGCAGAGAAGAATCCAAAACAGCAACATCCTTACAAACCTTGGAAGCAACACATGATCCCAAATTGGAAAAAGTTTCGTGGGAACCACGAAAGACGTAACCGAACTCTTCAAATACACCACCAAACCCTGATCTTCGGACGAAGACACCTTGCGGTTTGAGATGGTGACGTTGTTGTCTGAAGCCCTAAGATGATTAAACAGGTTGGATTATATGATTCACAATTAATGATAGAATTGTAGGAAAGATTACGAAATCATGCGATAACAATAAAGTTATCGATGAAGAAAAAACATATATCTATTATATATAATGCAATTTAGTAACAAAACCTAAAATGAAAAAAAAAATTCTTAAGATGAGAAGTAGGATAAACCTTTGTCATGCCCCTCTGAAAAGATGATGTAGCATTAAAGATTCACGGCTGAGAAGGAAACACATAAAAGAAAATATTATGTGATATATATGAAACAAAATCTAAATTAAAAACTTAAACTATTATAATAAAAATGATGTAAAGTAGGATTAACCTTTGAATATAAGGAGAATTAACTCCATCATTTCTCACAAATTATTTTGTGGCTTCCATGCTATGAAAATTGTCACCTTAATCCTCCATGAATCTGTAAGAATTTTGATTCGTATATTAGTTTTAACCATCCCAAAATTTATGATTCAATAAAAATTAGTGACCAAAGGATGTGTCATGCAAAATTAGTGACCAAACTTAATAAAAAATAAAACCAACAAATTCAACAAACCAAGTAAACGAAAAGAATACATACATTAGCCATTATTATAAACTAAAATGGAAGAATGGAAAACGCAAAAACAAAAGTAAAGATACATGTTATGCACTGGCAACCTAGGCTTGATACTCTTTTGTTTTGTTCCAATATTTATAGGCCTAAAGATGACATAAAAAAGAATATGCTTGATCCAAAGAAATATTCTAAATCATTTATGACGTATCTATTGTAATTGCTAAAGTTGTTTAAAATATTTTTGGTTAAGATCGCAAAACTAACTATAGATGTAGAATATGAAATTATCATTAACTAATTGAAATTATGACAAATTTTAAATCACGTGGTTAACAATTTTCCATAATATTTGAGATTTGTATAGTTAATGATAACTATATTTTAAGAAAATCAGAATATTTTGTTGACTGTTTTGATTTGTGTGTGTTATAGTTGCTTAAAATACGGGATATGAATTTCAATTTTGTAAATAAAATGATATATTTAATATATACTAATATTTAGCAAGTGGTTAGTAGAATATGGAAAAAAAATCTCAAAGATTATTTTTGTTATTAGGAATATTAGATATTCATAGATTTTGTATTTATTTTGAATATCTCCAAATATTTCTAATTGTTATTTATAATTTTGATTTTTGCACAAAAAAAAATATTATAATTTTGACTATTTTTGGAGTTACTCCAAAATATATTAGATTTTATGGTTTTGAAAAATAATTAGTATTCCAACGATTGTTTAAATATAGAAGATTGTTTGATTTGTAAATTTTTTTTTAAAAAAATTGAAATTATTATTTTTAATATCAGTTTTGGATAATTTATTAACTAATTTAGATATTAAAACGATTTAGAGGTTTTAATAGTTTCCATATGATATATATTCTTAATATTAATTAATTATATTAATTAATTATGCATTATATAAACAAAATCTTTTAATATTTTTAAACCCGTTGACCCGTTGACCCGTTTATATATATTAGTGACATGGAATAAATTTTATGATTAAAATTATATAATGGCATATATTGTAATTTCAGAGATTTAGGTAACTTAAATTATTGTTTGTTTATATAGGATTCGAGTTATATTGTTTAGCTTCATCAAAGATTACGAATCTTACTAACATTTTCAATCTCATCTTGTAAAATAGCTATATGAGTATTATAATTATCGGTATTAAAACGTTTAAAATGATATATCATTTTCGAATAGCATTTTTTATAATAAATTTTTTATAATAAATTGGCTTGATATAAAATGTTTTCAATGATATATCATTTTATGTTTACAATTTCAATAACATTTTTATAATTCACTTTATAACATGTTCGAATGATGGATTACTATATAACATTTTGAGTAACATTTTCAATGTGTTAAATTTTTAAATTGTCGAATTGTGTTAAATTATGACTCTCGAATTGATTATTGAACATCATTGTGTTAAATTGTCGAATTGATTAGAATAAGACATTCTCGAATTATATTGAATTAGATTATATTGAATTAGATTAAACTATATTAATTATTGAAATTATATAAAAAAAATCTTTTGATATCTTTAAACCCGTTGACCCGTTAAATATATATTATTGAAATGGAATAAAATGTTTATAATTAGATATCTCTAATGGCATATATTGTAATTTTTTACAAAATCTAAGTTATGAGCCTTAGGATGTACTTCCCAAATATTAGTATAGGATGCAGGAATAGGTGCCAAATCAAACAATAGTAAAAAAATTTTAAAGCCCTATATGCATTATTCAATAAACAAACAATCAAAAATATTATAGTTATTGGTGTTTATTAGAAGCTCAAAATATTATATATATATATATATATATAATTAATTGAGAATATTTTTTTAATTTGTTTTGGGAAACAAGTTTTATAAGTTCTGATTATTTTCTTAGCTACCTAATACTTAGTTAGTCATCATATGTTTTACAAGTTCAAAAGCATCCTAACCATTCAAATTTCACACTTTGTGGAGTTAGAAGCTTCAACGGTGATACTAAACTTTTAGATACAATATAACAATGGTCAAATAACACTTAAAAATTTATAATTGTCTAATATATAACGGGCGTAGCCCGGACTAACCCCTAGTTAGTAGTTAAATGTCCCATTTAAATTCAAGAAATCTAACAAAGAGAGAGCATTAACAATTGTTAAATATTAACCAATCCACGTCAGTAACCACCTGAAAATGTGTTTTGTTTTTCCCACATGCTAAACACTTAAGCATTACTAGTACTGACTACAGTACAGTACGAGTGCTTGCTTTTCTTTGTCCCGTACATAAAATGCCGAACGTCACATTACATAAACAGAACGTCATGTATCTGACTGTGCTAATCGAGCTGCGTCTACGACGTTTCAGGCCCATAATATTAAACTAATTATATTTTGATGGTTTAGTATAAAACAAAATTTAAGTAAAGAGTTGTTCTAATTTGAAATTCAAATTTTCTTAAACAAATGATTGATTGTACATGTTGTTACTCAGAAAAATGTAGTAGAAGCTTGACAAATTAGATGCATTTTTATTGATGAAAAAAACGATTTTTCTTTTCTTGTTGTACTTATTATTATGTAATTATAATCAATAACCATCAAGTAGTTTGAACACACAGGTCAGAAAGTAATTATTTGTTGCGTAAACATCATATATAACCATCTTCGAGAATTTCATGATAAGGTACTAAATACTCTCTCTTTTTTGTTTGTATTTGCTTTTCAACAAATTCTTTTCTTTTGCTTTAGTTTCTTTACTATTTATTCTTCTTCACGCTTCGTTTTATTTATATGGTGTCTACTGAATATTTCTTTTACTAAAGAACAAAAGGGTTTGCTAGGGGAAAAAAGGGTAAAGAACAAAAAGCACGAACATGCAAAAACACATAATAAATCAAAAGAAAGAAAAAAAAGAAAGAGTATTTTTTCTGTCAATAACATACAAAAACTTGATTTTATTATTTTTTTTGTTTAGTAGAGTTTCTAAGATAATCTTGATATTCTTTTTGAAGAGGTTTCTAAATAATTAAAAGGAAAGATTTTTATTTTTTAAATGGAAAAACATATATAACAACATTTCTCATTATATACAACAATAGGTTTGAACATGTCAACCAATGATTAGTCTTTTTGCAACATCTCCACTATCTCGTGACATATATCATCCCTTAGTTATTATAATAGTAATTGTGCCCCTCTAATTACCAATATTACTTATATCATCCCTTAGTTCTTATAATAGTAATTGTGCCCCTCCCTAATGTTTGTATTTTCGTGAAAGCAACAACGGCTTTGCCTGATAGACCCGGTCCATCTGCAGAGACACACGGACGGCAGGCAAAGTCTCCAACCGGATGTCGAACCGGCCGAGCCGGTGGCATTAGAATCCTCTTATTAATGTCATTTAGGGTTATATCTTCTTCTCGACCACCTGGTTTCACCACTCCAAATGGATACACTATCCTCTTCTTCTCGTCATAGTCATTCTTCTCTGTAATGCACAAGTGTTACATTAGTGTTTATATAAACCGGAATTTTCATTTATTTATTTTTAACGCGATATATTAGTGTGACAATTACGCATAAACATAATTCCACAACGAAAAAATGGATATGATCCCATATAGTACACTTCTTTGGAAGATAATATAGAATGCTTGCTTACTTGACATGGACGAGGACGGTTCGAAGGAGTTTTTTGCAAAATTTGAAGATTTTTCTTCGGAACATATATCGATGGAAGAATTTGGAGATTCATCTGTTTAAATATATGAAAATTATGTTAAAAATTTATTCATCAAGATTATCCAATTATCTTACTATTATATTAAAACTGCACTGATATATTGATTTATATGATAATAATAATAATAAATACTAATATTTATGCTCCAAAGACATATGGGTGATAATAATAAAGAAGTAGGTCTCACCTGCAAACTGACTACTCGTGCAACTATAATTCTCAGACAGGCCCCAATGATTCTGCATTATTATATTACACGAATAAACAAAATCAGTTTCATAAGAAATAAAAAATAGTAAAGATATAATTACGTAAATGACGAACGAAAAACAGAGTAGTAATTTATATAAAACCTGAGAATGGTCTATATCATAATTTGGTTTGTCCTCGGCGCCGTTGAAGGAGAGACGTCTCCGTTTGCTTCTCCCACTGAATTCGATGAGTGCGTCTTCAAGGTATCCGGTGGAACCGTCCCCGATTTCCATCTCCGGCGAACAGAATATATTCTCCGGCGATTCATCAATGATCCCCCATGCATCTACAAGTACATTCCTCCCGTTACGTGTGTGTGTATATAGAAATATATATTTTTAATGAATTTGTTTTTAATTACTAGCACAAATACTTTCATCTTTCAACGAAGGAATACATTATTTTGTTTGCACGAAGCCACCAACAAACTTAACATAAATCATATCTACAAACATACTTACATTACATACATAATTAAAAAAACCGTAATACAAATATGTTGTTGTCCATACCTAGATTGAAGTTCTGGTTGAAGAGTGATCCAACGTTATGGAGATCCCAAGAGGGGAGAGAGTAGGAAAGCTCACTCATTTTTTTAGTGATTTGTAGATTGACTGTGAATGTGTTGAATTAAGGGGAGACCATGTGGCTACCTATTTATCTTGGTGGGTTGTGAGTAAAAAGTTAAATAAATTTAAATAATTCAAATAAAGAATAAAATGAAAGAAAAAAAGGGGAAAAAACAAGTTAAAGCAGTGGAAGAAAATTTAGTACTTAACACAGTCAACTGTAAAAAGAAAAGATAAAAAACAATAATGGTTGGATAGTGTGTGCCCATCAGGATCTGTTTCATACAAAATAATATAAATTTGTAGTGATTATTTGTGAGATGTTGATAACGATCATTTTTAACCGCATTTTTTACAATAATTAGAGACAAAAAAATGTGTTCGATATTTAGATGAAGTCTGCTTAACTTAATAAACGAATCTCTCATTCGTTTTGTAAATTAATTTTAAATGCCACAAGCAATGGAATGATCATATATTTTATACGTGCATATTTTACTAGAGAAAGATTATCTAGTCCAAAAGTATTTACATAGAGTGTGAAAACTTTTCTTACAATATATATATACGATATATGAGCCGATGAGGTATAAAAAGACAAACTATATGTCAATGAGAAATGAATTTGATATTGACCAATGTGTAAAACAAAACTGGAACAAATGTAAACTAAGTTTTGAAATCTGAGTGGGGTTAACCAAGTGTTCTTGGTCTAGTGGTTGCCACTTGTGGAGGAGTTGCCATGTTGGTCTAAGCCAGGGATCGATTCTCCGCAAGCGCGCAATTGCTAGATCTCCACTTGGCCACTGCGCAATTTACCTGCGGGGCGCAGCGTCCCAGACCACCAGTTCCGGGAGACCCTTAAGTGGAGGCTTAAAAATCCCAGGCACGCGGGCTTAGGCCCAGTAGGCTAGTCGGATCACTGTGTGCTCTGGACACTGGGTTATCAAAAAAAAAAATCTGAGTGGGGTTAGGTAAATGGGGGACTGAATAATGGCTAAAGGCGATGAAACTATCATCATGATGTCTATGTTCTAATGCTGCTCATGCATGTTACTCATGGAAGAGAGAGAAAGTAGTAGATGCATGATATATTGATTTAGTCGTGTTATGTATTTGTACAACAAATATATTAAAATTTGTTTATTTTGTGGTTTGTCCATCTATTACATGAATGATAAAATTTTAATCATAATTATGATGGGTTTAGAATTCGTAAGCTACTTATCGCGCCAATTGGAATATTGTCCTTCCACTTTGAATTAGACTGATATATAGTGTGTATATATACGACTTTATTTAAGCAAAACCAAGTTTTTTTTTTTTTTAATATAACCAACCAAGTTTATCGTGTATACATATATACGAAATATATACACTTGAAACATGGTTAAAACAAAACGGGTATAGTTATTTAACTATCATAAAAACGTTATATAAAAAAAAAGTCGTTCAAACTAATCAGGGCTTTATATTATTGATTTAGTTATATAATTACAATTTACCTAAATGAAATGTGAAACTTCGTTGCATGCATTGATTAATCCCACATTCAATTTCTGCTTAAATTACAAATTCTACATAGAATCTATGTAATCTTTATTGATGTGAAATGTTTAACATTACAAATAAACAATGTAATAAATACAACGACGAGAAGTACTAGTTTGGTAAGATGGGTTATCAAAGTCATGCATGTTCTTTACAAAAAAAGTCATGGATGTTGACAAAAACAAAAAAAAAAAAAAAGAGTTCAATGTTATACACATAAGAGGATTTCAAATTTGCAGCTTTATCTCCGTATGTATTATTCTTCAAAGCAAATTTTGCTTTCTGATTTGGTGAACAACCTGTTCTTCTATTATTAGGTACTTTTTTTCCTTAGATTTATATACTTTCATTTCTTCTCCATCGTGGGGTCATGTCATATATATCCTATCACGTTTACTCCATCATTACTTACCTTTTATTTCAATTTTTTGTTATTTCTTTTGATGAGAATATATATATAGCACAAAGCAAGCACTATAATTCTACTAAAAACTTGATAAGAAATCTAGTGATTATAAGATTATCGAAGTTAATTGGATCGAACTAATTCACTATGACTTACGTACTTTGCATTTGTTGACAACAAAAAGAGAAAATAACTTCGCATTTGCAATAATGGGACAAAATATGAAAATATAGATTACTTGTCATCGAGTAAGTATGCTTTTTCTCGATTGTAATGCATATAGCCGGCATACGAATTTTCAGTGGGGTCGAATGTAGGCATGCCGGCGGGACCCAATTGGAAAATTAGAAAGATTGCAACCGTATCATTTGTGGGGGCTCTCTTCTTTAAATTCGAGTTTGAATGGTCCAACACACACAAATTACAATATATATTGGTCAAATTTGATGATTGCAAATTTGCATCTACTTGGTTTTCTTGAGTGATCCCTAGAATTGAGAAATAATTAGTTGATATTTTGGAAAAGAATTATACATGTATACGGAGTTGTGATTTACATATAATTTCCAAAAGTTTGGCAAGTTTAATGATCAAATAACAAATTTTGTATTTGATCATGGTAGTTAGCTTTTTTGTTAATAGTTTCCAAATGTTTATTCAACAAGACTACCAATTGTAAGCTAACCACATTGGTCATCATCAAACTCGTTAAAACTTTACTTGTCTCAAAAGTTTATGAATCGATATAGATGTTAGTTGGTATTTAGAAATAGTTGATTTTGTAAAACCATAAACTATTTCTTTTCATACGTAGCATTAAAAACGTTACCAATACGATATCCAATATTTTGTATATATAATTTCAAATTTTAAACGGTATGATTGATCCATGATATATAAGCCTCTTTATTTTGTCATGGGTCCGAGTAGATTTTTGATATCTTATGTTGGAGAATCCTGAGATTATTTTAAACAAGAACCATTTACGACAAAAACAGGAACCATTTAATTAGTGGGGGTAGATTTTAGCCAAGTTTTTTTTAATATCATCAACCAAAAGAACCATGACGAATAAACAAACCAATTAATTGACTCTCCTTTTGTAAATTATATATTCATAAAACAAATACAGATTAGGAAAATTTGGTTTTTTCCAAAGCTGTGCTATATTTGTCTTTGCATGTGTTGTTCATTGGACGGTTCACGATCGCCGATCGGTAATTATGGTGAATCAAACGGTGATGATTGAAGCTAAGTTTTGGCCTCATCAGTCTGAGATTTTGTCTGTTGCTATTACTTGGACCCATTGCTTATTTCGCTTTACTAATATTCTATTGGGGACAAAAGAAAAAAAGTCAAGTCCACACTTTAACCAAAAACACAGATGCTTAGTTTTAAAAGGAACCGATAAGAGGGTGTGTTGTCACGGACCATTCTTCTGCATAGTTCGAGACTTGTCGCGTTGTTTTCCCAAGACTTTACGTAGATATTGATAAGTTTATGGTTCAGTAAAGTGTATGTATTAAGTGAGAAACAAAAATTTTATGTTTTGATGTATGAGGCGAAATAATGTTACAATTTCTTCATCAGATTCAGCTATGTATACGTATAACACAAATTTATACCAGTATCTTAAAGGTAATCTAAATATCTTCTTCTTCTTTTTTTGTCAACACGTAGTTACATGAACGAACCAAATTTTCATCTATCTGAATGCCTAGCAAACCGGATTTTGGTTTGGTTATGTAATCCAATTTTAATTAGAGAAAACCGGATTCTGGTTCTGTCTGGTTATGTAAACCAATAATTTTTCGGTCCCGTCGAGTTTTGTTTTACCTGAAGGGATTTGGAAAAACCCTCTCTCACTCAGGCTCAAGCGCCGGCGTTCTCAAGCCAAATTCGATTTCGTTTCTAAGTTGAGATTGAGAAATGCAGAGATCATCTTTGCGGCTACTAGCTAAGCCTCTCTTGGAGAGTAGGCGAGGGTTTTGCACGAGCTCCGATAAGATCGTAGCTTCGGTGCTTTTCGAGAGATTGCGCGTTGTGATACCCAAACCGGATCCTGCTGTTTACGCTTTCCAGGAGTTCAAGTAAGCTCTCTCATTGCTTGATTGTGCTCTGTTTTTCTTTTGGTTGAGTAATGATGAGAAATCGAGAGAAAATGGGGAAAAAGTGTAGTTGTGTGATTCAAAGAATGCATTTTTATGTTGCTTACTCTCTGGTTCATCTGATTTTGATCACAGAAACTTCTTGATTTGGTTCTCTATTGCAGATTCAATTGGCAACAGCAGTTTCGTCGTAGATATCCAGATGAGTTCTTGGATATAGCTAAGAACAGGTACAAGTTTCTGCTTTGTCAATCTCTTTTTGATATCATCATGTGTCCAAGCGTATAATCTGCTCAATGGTTTCTTCTGCGTTCAACTTTGTGTCATCCTTATCATGGCAATAGCAAAGAATGTTAGATTGGCGTTATTTCTTGTAGCGCGGTGAGTTACTGTTGCTTGGTTATTGAGTTCTGAGCAGAATTACCTTGCCTGAATTGAGCTATTAGAGCTGTTATATACTCATAGATATATAGTGAAGGTTCTGTATAGCTCAGTTTCAGTTTTCTCTAAGTGTATTGAAGCTTCCATGAAAATTCTATTTCGTCTTTGGTTAATTTTTTGATGCGTGAATACAGAGCCAAGGGTGAATATCAAATGGACTATGTACCGGCTCCTAGAATTACAGAGGCTGACAAGAATAACGATAGGAAGTAAGTTGTTCGCACCTCTTGAAGTCTCCTGCACTGTTGTGTTTCTATTTGATTGATGATTGATAGTTACTTTTGGAAAAATGCTGCTATTACAAGGTCATTATATAGAGCTCTAGACAAAAAGTTGTATCTTCTCATCTTCGGCAAGCCATTTGGAGCTACTAGTGACAAACCTGTCTGGCATTTCCCAGAGAAAGTCTACGATTCTGAGCCAACTCTTCGCAAGGTGATTGTTTGATTTGATGCACTATTTCAATCCATAATACCATGAAACTTCATTCCTGTGCTTATAGTTGCTACGTGAATTTGGTATTTGTAGTGCGCGGAATCTGCTTTAAAGTC